TAATATTCTGTACGTAACAGGGAAGTACCTACCTCCTTACTTTGTAGCTTACAAATCAAGAACCATATGGTTTTGCAGAAACATGTTTTTTTCAGTTTTCCATCCATAAGCAACATCAAAGCCTGGCATGTAACATTAGACCTGGACCATATGTTGAGCAAGGACTTCAACTTAGAGGGTTAAGTCTATGGTCATTATCTACAACTCTGCCCATTGGCTTGACTGGCCTGTTCCAGTTTCAAACCACAGTATTTTTGTACTGAGCTGGACAGCAACTTTTGCCCATTTTGGGTTGGGTCACAGCTAGATCCATCATTATACCAGGCATTAGCTGTAGGTCCCTCTTTCCCTTCTGCATAGGGCATAGGGGTCAAGTCCTACAGTTGATCCTCCTGGACAGGTTCTTACACTGTTTACATCATGCATCCTAAAACTGTTGCTAGTTCAGCTTTCAATAGGCTAGTTGAGACAGAGGAGTACTGTTGGAGGTATATCCCTCATCAGGTGAGAGTGGAGGCCTGTGCCATTTCACTCTTAGAATGAGCTGTTCACATTCATACCCAGCCCATCTATCCCATGATTCATACACAATGTAGGCAGGCAGAGCAGTGTACAACGCTGCTGTTTCTCAATCAGGGAATGCCAGCTCTCAGCTCCCTCCCACAACTAGATCCAAAACCCAACAGGGTACTTCTGCTCCCCCACCCCAACTTTCTTTCTTTCTTTTTCTTTTCTCTCTCTCTTTTTCTTTCTTCCTTTCTTCCTTTCTCTTTCTCTCCCTCTCCCCCCCCCTCTTTCTTTCTCTTTCTGCTATAGGCCTCAGCCAAACCCATTGTCATCTACACTGACAGGATAAATGGCAGGTTAGGGTCAATGACTCATAGGGCTTGTACCTGTGCACCAGCCCTCTTTGAGTCCTGAAAAGCAGCTTCTGCTGCATCTATCCAGCAAGCAATTTCCATTGCATCTATCCAGCCCCATGTTGTGGCCCCTTTAGATCAATTGGTATAAAGCACACAGTAGGGTAGCTAGGTATGGTACATCTGCCAAAAATGCAGCAAGCCCACAAATGCCTGTAATTGGCATACTGTCTTGGATCTGGTCTTACCAACCATATAACACTCAAGATTTAACAGAAAAGTCAGTTTCCTGGACCTTGTCATTGTCCATGATTCACCCCCATGTCAGCAAAGCACCCCTCGGTCTATACACTGGCTTTCAAATCTGCAAGCCAATCAGAAGTTAACATACTATGAATACAATGAAACAATGACAGAGTGTTGCTTGGCCCAAGTGGCCAGATCCAGGGCCACCAATCCAAGACATGGAATAGGGCTGTGCAAAGAGCCTTGTGGCAACATCTGGAAGGTCCACTGCCTGCCCTCCTGAGTGAAGGCAAATTTGTCCTGACTGCCAGCATCAGGGAGAGACTTTAGTCAACCATCACAACCCATCTGGCTTCTGCACAGGCCATACTGAAGAGCTATATGCATAGAGTATCACTCCTGCTTTTTTCAGTTTCAAGAAGTTAGTCCCATCTCCTCATGGCCTCCAGGCAGCCAATACTTTTTTATGTATACAACCCATGTGGCCTGTGAGACAGTCAGGCATGCATGGTGTAGATTGTCTCAGTTTGGTTTTTCCATGTGAATGCACAACTGAAATTCTTCCTGCATGGTGTCTAGCTAAGTCAGGATGTCCACCCCCAATATGTATTCAGCAACTGGGACACACATGCATCATACAGGCATGGGGGCAAATGCTCCACAACCAAAGTCATTTGGCCTTTCAGACTTGATGTAGGTCCTGTAAAATGGTCTGGGTTGCTGTATATTAGCATTGACTAAGCTCAGATAGCCATCAATGGTAGTATATGGTGAAAATTTGGGGGGGATCAGTAAGTAGTCAATTCCATATGCAGCCTCTGGTCTCCTGAGATCCTCAAGACCCAGGTAGGATGGCCTATCTCCTAATCAGGGAGAAGGGAAGCCAGCATCACCTCTTACGGCTTCACCAGGCCTGCCTAAGTTTTATATGGCTAGGCCAGCAGCCAACAGGTCTGTCCAGATCTGACACCAGTGGACATTCAGTTGCCCCTCTGCCTGTGCTTGGGAGGACAGCTCTATTTACCCAAGGTTTCTTTTTCTCCTTTGCCAGTAGTTTTTGGAGATATTGCCACACTTTGGTGCTTTTTCACATGTGCCAGTCTGGCCAAGGTATCTACCACATTATGGATTGGGTGATCTGCAAAGGGGGCTACAAGGGCTGCCACGGTACCGCAGTGTGAAAATCATTTGCCATGTGCCCATTTCATGTAGTACAGTTATCAAGTCTGGATAGTGACTTGCTCCAGCAGGTCACCTGGATTCTCCCAAAACAGGCAAACCGCTGCTGTCAACCAATTCATCACAGAACCCCTCATAGAGGGGGTGCTGGCTATACTGGCTATTTGGGACATCTGCATGTCATCAGCCCCAGTGTTCCACAACCATAGCAGCCACACAGGCATTGTTTCACCCACCTTCTGCTCTGTCTTGCCAGCTCCCACAGCTCCATGAATGTATAGGTTGTGTACATTGTGTTTTGGTTAGAAGTAGGCAGCCCTCCCAGTCTTCCTGGGATAGGGATTCTTCTGCCTCCACTTTTTGATGACTAACCAGCCTAGCATGCCAAGCCACGAGATTTTTCCCTGGAGATTTTCTCATATATGAGGACTTACACTTCTGGAGACATTTTTGGAGGAGGCTGTGCCTTCTTGCAACATGGGCATCAGATCAGCCAGCCATTACTCAAGGTCCTCCTCTATCTGCTGCAGCTCACACTCTTACCAGACAAGGCCACCCACCTCTTGATTGACATAGCAGAAGAAAGTGAAAAACAGCCTTACCTCTGTTTCATGGTGAGGGGGAGGAATTTTTTTTTTTTTTTTTTTTTTTTTTTTTTTTTTTTTTTTGGAACCGGAACCGGGGATTGAACTTTCAGGCCCTTGTGCTTGTCAGGGAAGTTTCAGCCTCCCACTCCCCATCCTTTCAAGAAAAAAATGCAATAAGGATTTTTTTTTTTTTTTTTTTTTTTTTTGTCAATTGCTCCAGAGGCTTGCAAGACAATCCTGGGCCACAAATGGACTGTTTCCCAGTCCTTTGGCGCCTTTTAAGCTGCCAAGAAGGTGGCTACAGGTAGCCAATGATGAATCTGGGGCTGCTTATCTGCCATTCCCTAGGGTGGATGCTGTCTCCACAGCCTTGATGGGAATACTCACCTTTAATGTCCCATCAACTACACCAGTTGTAGCCTGCTCAAAAGGCCCACGGGAGATTTTTGAGGATCCCAAGGTTAAAGAACACATGTGTGTAAGACATCAGCAAGAACAGCAGGCTGCACAGAGCAGAGAGCCAGAGCTGCCTGCATCTTTATTGTATAACTCTTACACAGGTTGTCATCTCATATTTACATTCTCACACAGTGCTGTAACCAGCACATGCCTGTTTACCTGTGCTGAGTCATGATTACAGAACTGCCATCCAGTATGCACCTGCACTAGACAAGTGGGGACACGTCCTCAGGTGTCCTTTGAAGTCCCTGAATTTTGAAACAACCTGAGTGGTTCCCCACAATAAGATTTCAGGCATCTACTGGGGGGATCTGGGAACATAACCCCTGAAGGTGGACTACTGGGCTGAATACTATGATACAAATTAACTCTATCTCAGGACTTCTTCAATAAGCTGATCTGAATAAGCTGGTATACAGTCAAATTCTCTTACAACTTGTTCTCAGGATGACGAGGCACTAACTTGACACCTCTGCTCAGACAGATCTAAACAGAATTGCCTCTGCCTGTCTGGTGCAGCACTGTGCACTGATGAACACTTAGGAGACTAAGGCAGGAGGACTATCGTGAGTTCAAGACCAGCCTAAATTTCATAGTGAGACTCGGTCTCAAAAAACCAAAACCAAGCTGAGCAGGGTACCACCCACCTGTAATCCCAACACTCAGGAGGATGAGGCAGAGGATCAGCTCAAGTTTGAGGCCAGTCTGGGCTACACAGTGAGTTCAGGGACTGCCTGAACTACAAAGCAAAATCCTGACTCAAAAAACAAAAAATAAATAAAAGTGCTGGAGATATAGCTTAATCCAAAGACCCCAGATTTAACTCCCAGTACAACCCTACCCTTCCCCCTAAAAACCTTGCCTCTGCCTAGCCAGCTTTTCTGGAAGTACCTGGGCCGACTGCTAGGGGATACCTGTCTAAGCCCTTTGGGGTGGCAGCCTTTGGGAAGACCATCACAGGCCATTGTAAGGATACTACACCTGGTACGTTACATTCTCTTTTCTTTTCAAATTGACTCTATAAGGGTCTATGTAGACTATCACCACTATTTTGCAGATAAGGAAATTGAGGCCTAGCAGCAGATAGTAACTAGCACATGGTCATGTGGTTTGTTAATAACATAGCCAAAACTCAAAATAAAGTCAAGCTTTAAAAGTCCTCATTTCTTCCACTTTCCCATATAACGTTGTCAAAGCCTTTTGCATCCAAGATAGTTTGTGAAGAGCTGACTGAAACAAAACAGGGAGGCCATGTATGGTGGTGTGTAGGGGATACCTGGGCTTGATAGAACTTGGGCCCCCAGGGGCCCCTCAGCTTTTCACTGGCTTCTCTCTCCTTGGTTAGACATAGTCTGGACCTCAGAGAAAAAAGGTATTAGACAGTGCCTTCATTCCTGCACATACCCAGGAGCCCCCAAGACACTGTATCACAGAGGAGTAAAACTGGCATTTTCAGAAGCTGGGGTGGGCCACCTTAATAGAAGGCTATTTGTACTGCCCTTCCTACAAGTTGTGAGGTCTTGTTTCTGTTGCTGCTTGACAGAGGAGCAATGTCCGGTTTACTGGTATATAATGTTCAGGAGTATTTAGGATACAAGGTGGCTGAATGAATAACATCTAAGCCTGTGTCCTCAAAATCAGAAAAGAGACATAAATTCCCAGAGCAGTATCTTGTGAAACTAAACATATTTTATTCCATTAAATAAAGTCAAGTTTATTCAAGGAATGACCATGAGCTCTTCCTTTTTCTCACCTCTTCTCTCTTCCTTCCACAACACCTGGCATGTAAGCCTCTGTGTGAGGGACTGAGGAGCAACAGATCTCAGGAGCTGGACTCCAAGTGCTCCAAGCAGCAGCGACTCCCAGTAGCCGACGGCTGGATGACTGTAGAGTACCTGTGTCCTGCAGGAATCTTTGTTTCCAACAGCTCTGCTTGTACTCTGCAAAGTATGCACTTGCAGAAGACTTGGGAGCTCTGTTTCTTTCTGACTTGCTAAGCAGCTGGAGCACACATGGAGGATGTGGCTCAGTTTGACAGCTTGGCTAGGGTTTGGATTCTGGATGGATCAGAAAACAGGACTGATGAGGCCAAAGGTGACAGCTTTCAGATCTCACAAAAATGGAAAAAGCCGCTTTTTCACAATATAGAGAACAGTAGCAAGAAAAAGGGCCAGAGCCAGGAAGATAAGAAGCTTGTCCGTCAGCTCTCGGCGGTTATACTTCGTGATGAGTTTCCGGCCCAGCTGGATGGTGCCGGACATGGACTTAAATTCTTCATTTGCATCCAAGATAGTTCGTGAAGAGTTGACTGAAACAAAACAGGGAGGAAGCCTGACTCAGAGAAGGGATAATACAAGTGCCAAAGAGAGTGCTCTGCCAGCTGGCTGCCAGTAGGACAGGCCGTCTTGAGGCCAGTGTCACTGAGACCACCTAAAAGAGCAAAGAGTAAGGACCTGACAAGGCAGGGCTCTTCGCTCCCACCCAGCATGATGTGGTTTGTTTGGGAGTCCTTGAACATAGACATGGAAGGGGGAAGGACAGTGGTGGGGTGCTTGCCTAACCACCAATCCCAGCTCTCTAAAGCAGACAGGCACCACCACCAGGCACAAAACTCTCCACATGATCACAGGCACCATGAGGGTTGTGTTGGGGCAAGAGCTGTGAGGCACTGGAACTTTCCATAAATGAAATGTGGCCCACCAAGACACCTATGGCCACACTTAACCTTTGCAGGACCACAAAAAAACAAGGATGGGCTGAGGCCTTCAGTCTGGGACACTGGGAGAAATTTGAAAGATGTGCTATCTCTGCTGTAGCCACTGTGTGACACCTAAGAAGGCAGTGTCCCTTAAAGGGTCCTTGTCCACACAGTCAAATGTACTTTTCTTTTTGGAGACAGGGTCTTGCTATGTAACCCAGGCTTGCCTTAAACTCACAACAATGCCTCAGCCTCCCAAGGGCTGGGATTGCAAGTATGTGTAAAAATGTTTACCTGGCAAAGTTCTCCTATGAAGCATAATAAAGCATCATTGGAACATTCATCAAATAAAACAAGTGAAAAATAAGGTACAAGAAAGTTTCAGTAAAATGTTTCCATTTATGTGAGAAAAAGGATAAATAATACTTCATTTCGATGTTAAATAGGCTTGGAAGACACCAGAAGGACATAAAAGAAGCTGGTAACAGAGGTGGCCTCTGAGGAGTAGACACAGAGGACTGGAGGCCAAGGGTCAGCTGCAATCAGAATGAGAGGTACCTTTTTAATTTCTCTTTGTATACTCAATTTGGTACCTTTTGGGAGGAAAGGAATTCTGGGGACCAAACCAAGGGCCTCTTAGATGCTAGGCAATCATTCCACCACTGAGCTGCATTTCTAGCTCTTTTGTTACTTTGAGACAGGGTCTTGTTAAACTGCCCATGTGGGCCTTGAATTTACAATCCTTTTAACTCATGCAGTCCAAACTAGCTGGGAGTATAGGCCTCCACACCCATCAAAATGCTTTTTATACTGACAATGTGGCAAACACTATGCACATGTGGCTCCTACGCACATCAGATGTGGTTAATTCAAACTGAGTTTTTTTTCTTTTTGTTTTATTTGGGATAGGTAAAATTTGGCAATCCTCCTGCCTCAGACTCCTGAATTCTGGGCTGACAGGCAAGTGTAAAATATATACAGCACCTCAAAGACTTGCAAAAAACAAATGCACACAAGTATCCTGCCATGTCCACAGTTCTATAGTCATGGATCAAACCAACACCAGGATAAAAATATGTACGTTTTTTGGTTATTATTCCTCAAACCAGAGGCAGCAAACATATAGCACACGTTATTTGTCTTTTAAGACAAAATATGTTAATGTATGAGTTATTTTTTTCTGAACTATAGCTTCAGTATTCGGGTTTAACTGCAGTGTTGATGCTTTATGATGAGTAAGTGGGTTTGGGGCTGCAGTTCGAGCACTTGTCTCTAAAACGTTTACTATCACTGCCCTAAATCATACAGTCTGACATCTATTTATACTGCATTAGTTGTTGTTAAGTACTCTAGAGATGATGTAAGCATGTGGGAGGCAATGTGTAGCTTCCGTGCAAATGGTACATACACCATTTTACAGAAGAGATTGTGGAATCCATAATGGGCCCTAGAACCAGTCATTCAGTTGCCAAGGGAAGACTGTCTTGATAATTTTTTTTTTCTTTTTCTTTTTTTTTTTTTAATTTTATTTATTTATTTGTGTGTGGGGGGGGGCAGCTCAGTCCACCAGGGGGCGGGCTGGCTGGCATGTGGTGCTGGGGGATTGAACCGTGGTCCCTGGGCTTTGCTAAGCTTGTTCTAAGTAGGTGCTTTAGACCACTGAGCCATCTCACCAGCCCCTGTCTTGATAATTTTTTATTGAACATGGGAATAGTAACATTTTATATATGAGTTAAATCAATCATTGAAATTAACTCCACATAAGCGCCTACCTGGCAAGTGCAAAGTCCTGAGTTTGATCCCCAGTACCGCCCCCCACCAAAAAATAACTACACATATTTTTTTTCTTTCTTTTTTATAATGTATCTACCAGAAAATGTGAAGCTACATACATGGCTCCCATTACATTTCTACTGGGCAAGACTAGGGCGTTTTTTTCTTCTTCCTTACCTTTGCAGAAAATTAAACACTAATAAATAAGCAGGGCATAGTGGTGCACACCTGTAACTATCAAGAGTTGAAGCAGGAGAATTACAAGTTTGAGCCCAGCCTGGGTACTTTTGTGACTCAGTGAGTCCCTCTCCCAAAATAAAAAATAAAAATGATGTGGGGAATGTAGCTCAGTGTGAAAGCCCTGGGCTCAATCCCCAGTAACACATACACACATATGTACACACAGGCGTGCGTATGCACACATGTACTAGAACAATAAATAAATTTGGGAGGAAACATAACAATCAGAGCAGTATGACAGGAGGGAGAAACAAACATAACAAAGTCTCAGCCTCCTTCCCTATACTTCTGCCATTTCACAACCTAAGAACTTGTTAAGTGAACACCTAATAGACCCTCCTTTTTAAATTTTATTCTTATACGAGACTGGGCGTGGAGGCACGCGCCTATAATCCTAGCACTTGGGAGGCTGTAAACAGGAGGATCACTATGAGTTCGATCTAAACAGTGAGATCCTATAAACCCTGTATACCCTGTCCTAAATACAAAAAAATAAAATAAATTGTATTCTTATGGAGCATCTGAAGCCATCACAGAATTAGAATATATCATGAAATGCTACATGCCCATCACCAAAGAACTGCCAACCCTCCAGCAATGCCAGCCCCTCCCTATCCCAATTCATTCCCCTCATACCTACCTTTTTATAGCAAACTCATTTACCTAAAAGGCTTTGTTTTTAAACTGAGGAATCGATGAGATTTTAATCAGTGACAGGGTTGTAAACTGCATTCTTCTTCTTCATAGCTATTTCTATTACAAAATGTATCCAAGATTAACCTTCACACTGGGCCCTCTGCACGTCCCAGAAACCCTCTGCACCTGTGCTTCCTTTTCACCCCCATCAGAGCATAAACGCCCTTGACCTGTAAGTCCAGCTGTCTCCTCACTCTCCCTTCTCCCAGACACAGGCTTTCTTCCAAGGCACAAGCTTGGAAGAGAGGCCTGCTTGAGGCCGAGCCTAAGCGCTCAGACAAGTGTCAACTGCAAGAAGTTGCACGGGCTTGGCAAGTGTGAGGCCGAGTTTGATTTCCTGTACCAAGAAAGAAAAAAAAGTAACCTCAGCTCACTCAGCTCGCTTTCCTTTAAACTTCTGTTTGTATGAATGGAGCAATGAAAAAAATGAAACAGTTAAAATTATAGGTAATTATTTGGGTGATAATGGTATTAGGGGCTTGTTTTTCTTTTTTCTCAAGAGACCCTTACTTGTTTTATTGTTTGGGTTTTGTTTTGTTGTGTTTTCATTTTTTTTTCCAAATCTTTATTTATTTGGTACAGGGTCCTGTTAGGCAGTTTGGACTCCTTGCGATCCTCCTCTCTCAGCTTCCCTAACACTGGGATTATAGGCATGCACTACCAAGCCCTGTTTTGGTGGCCTGCACGGCAAGCTCAGGGTTTGGGGGTAGACATAGCATGCGGTACTGAGGATCAAACCCAGGTCCTTGCACTTGCAAGGCAGGTACTTAGACCACTTAGCTATCTCCCCAGTCCCCCCTTTTTTTTTTCTTTTTTTTGTTTGTTTTTTAAGACAGACACATTGAAACTGTTGTGTTTAAGTAGACGTCCCCAAAGCGTCAGGTGCTCAAAGCAGGGCTTCTGTAAAGTGACTGGAGTGCTTAGAGCTGACTCACTGTTAGGAGGGGTCTGTAGTTAAAAGAGCGGGGGCACTGGCAGTGCAGCCAAAAAGTTTCTCTCTTTCCCACTCCTTTCTCCACACTTTCTCTGCTCCCTATCATTCTGCCATGAGCTGTTTCTCCTCCACCATGCCACACAGTCAGACCACTTAGCTTTGAAGTCAGCTGACTATGGACTGAAATCTCTATAAATTATGAGCAAAAATAAACCTCTCCTCCTTTGGGGCTTTTCTTCCCAGCCACCTTGCCCAGTGCTACTAATACCCACACCAGAAAAAGGCCTAGAGATCCCTGCTCTTCACATTTGCCCTGGGAATGTTTCCACCAGAAAACATGATGGAATGTAGGGTCTTCCATAACTGCAATAACCAAAGGAGCGATGACAGCAGCACACCCTGCTCAGTGTAGGGTCCAGGTATGAGATGTCTTACGCGTGAAACACCACATAATTTCGGAAGCTTTGGATAGGCAGAGTAGGTACTGAGTGCTCTGGTGTCAAAGTGTCTCTAAACAAAGCTTTCAGCTCTAGGTCCAGCCTTACCTAGAGAGTGCATGGCCTCCTCACTCTGCTGGACCTGCTGTGACATCATCCTGCTGATCCCCATGAGACTCTCTGTGATGGCACTGGATGTCTGAGCCAGGCTCTCTTTGGTGGTTTTCCTAAATGTCCCAAGAAGGGAGGAGGAATGTTAACAAAAGCCTTGCTTCAAAAAAGCCTTATATCCAAATAAGAGCCATTTTTAAAAACTTATTATTAGTATATATTCATCATCCATGTTGGCAAGGGTGTATACTAGACCACATTCTTTTGGACTACTAGTAGAAATGGAAACTGATGCTCCTGTCTATAAAGCAAGCTGTTGAGAGCCTTAGAACTGTTCATTTTTTTTTTTTTTTTTAACTGTTCATTTTTGACCCAATAATCTCATCCTTAGAAATCTCTCCATAGGAATGATCCAAAGTGTGAATGAAAGCTCACCTTCTAAGGAACTGCTGTGGCTATTTAAAATACTGAAAACTATAAAGAAATACATACAAATGGGATTAGTTAGGGCCAGGGAGATGGCTCAGTGGAATAAGTGCTTGCCTGGCAAGTACAAAGTCCTGAGTTTGATCCCTGGTACCACCAAAAAAAAAAAAAAAAAACAAGACCAGGATTAATAATATACTATTGACTACTAAAATTATATTTAAAGAGTTTGTAAAGCTGGAATTACATTCCTGTAATTCTAGCACTTGAGAAGCAGAGGCAAGAAGATTGCTGCAAGTTTGAGGTCAGCCTGGACTACACAGTAAGTTCAAGGCTCAGATTGAACTGCACAGTATCACACTATCTCAAAAAAACGAAAAAAAGAAAATAACTTTTTTTAAAAACATAAGCAAGGCAGGCCGGCCAGGATAACTCAATGGATTAAACCACCTGCTTAGGCAGATGCAGGAAATGGGGTTCAATCCTGGTGTGCCATGCTGGCCCTGCCCATCGGGTGCATTAAGACGGTCATTGAGACTGGATAGTCGTGCAAGCCTGCAATCCCAGGCGTTTGGAAGGAAAAAAAAACAGGAGGATTGGGGCCGGGGAGATAGCTCAGAAGAATAAGCACTTGCCTGGCAAGCACAAGGGCCTGAGTTCAATCCCCGGTTCCGTCAAAAAAACAAAAACAAAAACAAAAACAGGAGGATCATTATGAGGCTGATCTGTGTAGTAAGACCCTATAGACTCTGTACTAAATACATAAAAAACAAAAACAAACAAGCAAGGCTTTGTGCTATAATACTGAATACAGAAGAGCAGGATACTAAGTTTTACATATGGTATGATTTTTGGCTATAAAAAATTTGGAAGGAAAAATAACAAAGAAAACAATGTACCAAAATGTTCATGAACAAGGGTGGGGATATAGCCCAGTGATAGTGTTCGCCTGATAAGCATAAGGTTTTGAGTTCAATCCCCAGTTCAAAAAAAAAAAAGGTTCATAGTAAGTAACAGTATAGCTTATTTTCATTTTGTAATTCACATTTTTATCAACTTACTTGAAAAGTATTACTTATATAATAATATTAAGTATGAACTTACGCTGAAAACAAGAGGGGACTTCCTATTGAGGTTTTACTTCATGCCAATTATTACCTGTCCTGTTACCAGAGCCCAGTAACACGGAAGGACAGATACCTTTGTCTTAAGGGGTCTCTTCCCTGAAGAAGCTCTGCTTTCTCTAGATTGTCAATTGCAATTTTGCAAGTGAGATTGGCTTTCCTCCATGAGGTCTGGTTGCTGCAAGAGAAGGGTCACAGTGAGTTTCTACTGGCTCCATTGGGTTGTTAGCTCCAATCACAGCAGTTCACCCTTGCAGTGTGGCCATCTCTACTTCCTGACACTTCTTCCTCTGGGTTGCCCCAGCAACCATTCTACTTCAGGCCCTAATACCTCTCCTCTGGATCCCAGAAGCTGTCTCCAAGACATTCTGTCTTTCCTTTCCTCTCAAGCATCTGGAAGACACAGGGACATGGCACAGTGGCTTCAGACTTCAGGGTAGGATCCCACCCACCAGCTGGGGACACAAGGTCGCATTCTGTCAAGTGACCTTTAAGGTTCTAGACATGTTATTCCTTGAAAATTACAACTTACTATTCATCTCTCCACCTCCAGTACCTAAAACCACCATTTTTAGCCCCTCAGCTACTCCATGAACATATGTCGTACAAGAAATTAAAAAGACCACAAGAACCATTCTTTCTCACTCTAACACTTACTGTTCCTTATATACTACAGACTAATCATGGACAATATAGACATACAGTATTAACATTGTTTATTCACAGTAATTATCTAATCTCCTTTGGGAATGACAACTCAAATTTGTTGAGCAGTTTCCTGAGGTTAGCAATGTAGCCTTTATTGACAAGACTATAGTCTAAAAAGCTAATTGTATCCCCCTGAGAATCAAACTCATGTTCTAGAACTTTGACACAGCCAGCTTAAATCAATTGTCCTACCTCTGGCAATATTAAAAAATCAAAATGAGGTAGAGAAGTTGAAAAACAAACAAAAAAGAATCAAGTTATATCATGTACAGATATAAATTCTCTATGATGAAAGTGACCGTTATGTATATCTAAAACGTACCAACAAAATCTCATAGAAGAAAAAAATAAAAATAAAAAAGGAACAAAGAAAAAAAATCTATGGAAATTCTGAGATAGCATGAGGGTCAAAAGAGAATGACATGAATACCAGTGAACTGGGAAAGTTTATACATATACATATATATACATATATACATATATATATATATGCACACACACACACATATTCAATCTGCAAGTATCAATAATAACAATATTAGTCCTTTTTTTTCATTGGTGTTTATCCCTGGAAATGATTAAAAGTAAGTACTCAGAGGCTGAGGTACTAGAGGGCAGGCTAATATATGAGGCCTTCGGTATAATCTTCAGCACCAAACAAAAACAAGCATATTCACATCTGCAAATTTTTATGATGCAGGGGCCGGGGAGATAGCTCAGTAGAATAAGCACTTGCCTGGCAAGCACGAGGGCCTGAGTTCAATCCCCGATTCAGCAAAAAAAAAAAAAAAAAAATTATGTTGCAAAAGTCAAATGTAAAGAGAAAGGTACTATTTCATGTTGTAAGATAATTTTGTTGGAAAGCTATACCTTTTCCTATTCAATATTAAGGAACAACAGATAGCTACAGTTTTATAATCAAGGGTTAGCACAGCTGCAATTAAACTTTCAAATTTGTTTAACACAAGTATACTTACAGTTTTTTGTGTGTCATTTTCCAGATAACAATTCCATTCAAAACGTTCTAAATTTTGGTTCACCTTTCACTCCCTTTTAGTGGACTCAGTACAAATTATAATTAGATAAAACTAATATATATTTTTTGTTTCAAAAATGTAAAATACAGTATCATGTTAAATGTTTTTGTAAACTATGCACAGCTTTAACTGCCCAAGTAAGCTTTGCTTATCCCTTGTCTTCCTCTACTTGAGAATTAATGACCTAGAGAGAACATTCAGCCTGTGTGTAAATTAACTCACCAACAAACCAGGTTTATTAAGCAAACACATGTGCAAGCCTCATGGGGAGCAACTGACACTGCAGAGGTAGCTGGAAGGAAATCAGGCCTACCTGAGCATCTGTTTTTTGTGATTTTCCACTTCCTGGAGTAGAAATTGTTTCTCTGATTCTTTGTCTTGTTCCTTAGCCAATTGCTCAAGTTCCTTTGAGGAGAAAATAGCACTATGTTAAAATGATTTTAAAAGCCAATATGAAAACAGAAAAGCACTTCTATTTTTTTTTTTTGAACAGCACTTCTATTTCTAGCAAGCACACACAGCTACATTTGAAGTACCCTTTTAAAACAGGATACCCAGGAATGCTAAGTAATATATAACACATATCCTTTTAAATGCATAGCTCAGTTTGCAAGCAGGTGAGGAAAATTCCTAGGCCTAAAAGGCAGGGGTAAACTAAGATCCACAGTGGTTAGCCTGTGAGTAATGCACGGCTACCCTGGAGTAGGAGGTGTTCTTAAAATCTCAAGTATGCCTGAAATAAGAAAGAGTTACAAAATATTAGCCCACTGATTCCATACTTATATATCACAGGAATATCAAGCAACCATGTTTTCAAATGTTCTTTCTTCACCTGTAACCCCAGAACTCAGGAGACTGAGACAAGAGGATCACCACAAGTTCAAGAGCAGTCTGGGTTGGGGCCTGCAAGGTAGCTCAGCAGACTAAGCACCTGCTTAGGCAAGTGCAGGGACTGGGGTTCGATCCCCTGCCCCACACTTTGTGCTGGCCCCACCCCCAAACACGCTGAGACCGCCACCAAGTCCTGGCATGGTGGCGCATACCTGTAATCCCAGCACTGCGGAGGCTGAAAACAGGACCACTATGAGTCTGAGCTGTGTAGTGAGACCCTGTACCAAATACACTTAAAAAAAAAAAAAAAAAAAGCAGCCTGGGCTACACAGTAAGACCTTGTCTCAAATGAAACTAATAAAAGTAAATATTTCTCAATTTTGAGATCAGTCAAAAATAGTTTGAGGATTTGAAGCTCATGTGGGACAGAAAAATGAAGCTTCAGGCCACCCAAGGCTGAGAACTGGAAGTGAGAACACCACAAATCTAAGACTCATAAAAAGCTATACTCTCAGGAAAAAGGTCTAGGAAAATGTCCACTCAGCAGCAGAATGAAAGCATGGGCTCTTGTCTTTTTTGGTTGTGGTCTCTGGTTAGAGGGGTAAAAATGAAAATATTGCCTAAGAATTTATAATTAAGAAGATTCTTTGACACTGACATGAGGTTCAAATTTATTTTCCTTGAGTAGCCCAGAAGCTCCATAAAGAGAAATTTATATAAAGAGTTTCTCCAGAAGGAGCCCAGGAGATGGTTCAGTGGAATAAGTGCTTCCCTGGGAAGTGCAAAGGCCTGAATTCAATCCCTGGTTCTGCAAAAAAAAAAAAAAAAAAAAAAAAGTTTCCTCAGAATTGTGATAATTCCAGGAGACCTGGCAGAAGCAAGTATGAAAACCGCTAAAAGACTTGCCTTGGACACAGGATACACAAAGTGTCATAAGAAGACCTGCAAATGAGTATTCACAGTGCTCCAAAATAACCAAACACCAGAGAAACATTCTCCCATGCGTAGAAGACAGCAGGTATGACAACCAGTAGTATTAGATCCTAAACAACTTCAGAGTATAGAATCATCTAGCATACTTGAGTAGAGAGACAGAAGAAACACTGAAAGTCTCTTCATATATTTTTGTTTGCAAATTAATACAAGTTTTCAATAGAGCCACTGACCTAAGGTATAAATGTATTTTCTCATGTAGATACGCATACTAATTTGTATGTGCTGAAGCCTGAACAAGTGTGTGTATCTACATCTCAAAATAGCTCAAAAATTACTTCAAATTGCCAAGATGGGTAGTGCACACCTGTAATCCCAGCACTCAGGAGCCTGAGGCAGGAAAATCATTGCCAGTTTGAGACCAGCCTGGGCTACAAAGTAAGCTCAAGGCCAGCCTGAACTATATAGCAAGACCCTGTCTCAAAGATAAAAAAGAAAAATTTGTCCCCACCTCCCCAGATATTGTTAAGGCAAAGAAAAGGCACTGACTGTGAACTGAAACATTTTTGCAAATCTCATCGGTTATTTGTATAGTTATTTCTTTAAAATCTATTTTCCCTGCTAGAATGCAAGTTCACTGAAAAGAGAGCTGTAACTAGGGTCATTCACTACATTTACTCCTTATGTCTGGCACATACTGGGCACTGAATCACTGAAGGGAAGAATGGATCCCCAGGATGAAGGGGGGTAGAAGGAGGAAAGGAGGGAGGAATGAACAATTTCCTCATGAAGGGCTTCCTGAAGTTCTGGTACAGAAAACTTGCACTAGTTCTGCATAAAAGAGAGGGGATAGATTAATTCTCAAGTTCCAGTTTGAGAACCATATGCCTAAAGACAGACACACAGACATTGATATCTATACAATCAATGTCAGACAATAACTAAGGTAGAATAGCAGAATTTGATACGAGGCCAATTATCTTTTAGTATCACATAATCTTGTTATAAATACACCAAAGATATTCATATGAGAGCTAAGAACATCAGACAGAAATCCTGTATATATTTCCAGGTATGAAGAGAGTAAGCAAATACTTAGGAAATTCAAGTAAGAAGTTGGATGGGGGGCTGGGGAGATAGCTCAGTAGAATAAGCACTTGCCTGGCAAGTGCAAGGGCCTGAGTTCAATCCCTGGTTCTGAAAAAAAAAAAAAAAAGAAAGAAAGTTGGATGGGAACTTATCCTGAGTGGACATATCTGTAATTCCTGCTACTCAGAAGAATGAGGCAGGAGGATGTTAAATCCAAACCCACCCTGGACAACTTAGCAAGACTGTCTTGAAAATAAGAATTTTAAAATAGCTTAGTGGTGGAGTGTTTGCCTAGAATGAGCAAGGTCCTACAGTTAATTCAGTAACAGAAGAGGAGAGGAGAAGGAAGGAGAGGGGAAGGGAGGAGAAAGAAAAGAAACAAACAGAAACAAATAAAGCAGAGCAGAACAGAACTGGGACAGAGTCATTCATTCACTGACCATGTGCTCATCACCTCACTAGATACCAGACACACTCTTTGGTTCAGGGAACTAATGTATCAGAGGCAGGGAGCATAGTAAATATGCAAATGTAATGGTGAAGTAATTTATTAAGTTAGTGAAGGAAATAAACATCAGGCAAGCATCTAAATAAATAGAAGGAAATACCATGCTGAACGTGATGTGTATAATTAAAGAGTGAAAGAAAGGCATTTTAGAAAATAAATTAGCTTTTTTTTTTTCATTTTAAGTATTTGGTATAAGGTCTCACTATGCAGCTTGGACTTGTAATGATCCTCCTGTTTTCAGCCTCCCCACTGCTGGAATTACAGGTGTGTGCCACCACACCTGGACTTGTTCACCTGTTCAGCGTGCCCTGGGGGTGGGGGTGACCTGGCATGCGGGCTCTGCACTTGCCAAAGCAGGCACTTAGTCCGCTGAACTATCTCACTAGCCTTTAAATTAGTTTTTTTGAAAAACATTTTATTAGTACATGTTTGCAGTACATAATGATTACATTCATCATGGGGAGTTATTTAGTACATGTACATAACATATATAAATTAGCTTTAAAAAGAAAAAGTTGGAAGCAGTCCAAATAAATACCCTTCGACAAAGTAGTTACAAAAATGATGGCTAGGAGCTAGGGATATGCTCAGCAGCATAAGAACCAGCCTGGCAAGCACAAGGTCCCAAGTTCAAACCCTGGTACCACCAAAAAAAGATGGCTATACAAAAAGAGTGAGAAAGGTTTCTGGGTACTAATATGCAAAATATTTCAATATACATTGTTAAGTGTTTAAAAGTGGTATTTTTTAGATAAAAAATAGAATAATAAGAAAATATATACGGGGCTGGAGAGATGGCTCAGTGGTCTAAAGCACCTACTTGAAACAAGCTTGGCAAAGCACAGGGACCTCGGTTCAATCCCCAGCACCACATGCCAGCCAGACCCGCCCCCTGGTGGGCTGAGCTGGCCACACACACACACAATAAATAAATGTAATAAATAAAAATAAATAAATATTTAAAAAAAAAAAAAAAAGAAAATATATATTTTTTAAATATTTGAGTACATAAACTGGGGAACAATTGCAGGGGAATAAAGAACAATAAGGAGTAAACTGAGACTTTTCTAAGTTACAGTCTTGCAAAAATTAAAAATTGGACTGGGGATGTTACTCAGTGGTATAGCACTTGTCTAGCACATATAAGCCCTTGGGTTCAAGCCCCAGTACTATAAAAAGTAAAAACAATAGGCAAGTAAAAATTAAGCTTATTAAATCAGGGCTAGAGGTGAAGACAGAAAGAGCTCCACTAGGTGGTGGCGACAGAGCTACATTCTAGAATTAACTCCTGTTGCAAAACTACTTTCAAATTGTCTTTGAAAATCCCTTAGGAAAGCAACACACAGGACACAAACATACTGTTTCTCAGCAGCCCAACTGGACAGTTTTAGAACAGACTGTCTCCATCTAATAAGCAATGACAAAGCTGTTGGCTAGCTTTTGGGGCAACGTCATGTGAAGTCTTTACCACATGCTGCAAGACCAAGTGCCTACAGATCTACCCTGAGATAGGCAGATCCGAACTCCCCAACTCACCCTCATGACGACACAGTAGTAAAAATGCCTACTATTTAAACTGGCCCTTTTCACTTGTTTTGAGGCAGTACATACATCATAGTTGAATGTAGGAGTGCTAATGTGTGTATGATGTGACTGGTGACTTCAGAAACACAATGAAAGACCCCGGGCAAAGTGACAGCTCAAAAACACCCAGGAGATGCTACTGATGGGCTGGGCGGGGGGGATGAGTGAAAGGGTTGGAGAAAATGGTGAAAAACAGTTAGAAGTGGTCTCAGCGTTTTCAAGTTGAAAAATTCTTATTTGTACACAAGTTCCTCAATTATAAATGAAGAACGGCTTAGCTAAAGAGTAACCTTCACTGTCTGTTTACTACCCTTCCAGTTGGTATCTGAACTCACAGAGCTCTCAGTTTTTTGGGTTTTTTTTTTTAATGGTACTGGGGATCAAACTCTGGACTTTGTGCTTGCCAGGTAGGCACTTAAGCTACTGAGCTACCTCCCCAGCCCCTCTCAAGCAGTTTAATGCTCAGGACTGAGCCCCTTTCATTGTTACCCACCATCTGGATTGTGGCTCTGCAACCATGCTCACCTGTACTCTGTGTCGTAACTGCTGAATCTTCTCTTTCACTTTAGTGTTCAGTTCTGTAAGTGCGCTTAAGGGTCCTGAACAGTTTCGAATATCCTAGGAGACATTGAAGAGATGAGAGCCTTTCTGGAGGCGATGACATGAAATGACATCATCTGTACAGTAAGAAAGTTGACTTAGACCACAACTAAGGTTAGCCTGAATGTAAATTAGCCTGATCTTTGCTATTTACCTCTGTGATACAAACAAAACCATTTTCTTGGTTTTTCTGATTCCTCTTTAGACTAATTTGAACAGATAATATAGAGCAGGCTGGGGGTTTAGCTCAATGGTGCAGTGCCTGCCTCAAAAAAGAAAAGTTATTAGTGCATACAAAGAAGCACAATTTTAACTAAATTACTAGTTCCTAAAGTTCAACAAATCATCACCTGGCCAGTATGAAAGACTTAAAAAGCTGCTTGCATGTGCAATAAGAAAATGGATCCAAAAGTAACAGTATAACTTCAGATCTTTCTAACTTGAAAATGAGGATGCTTAAATTACTGGCAACATATGACAAGATTAATTTGGCCTGACTTTACAAGCCATCTGTTACAAGTCCCTGTTCATTTATAGACTTGTTTAGGGGTAGATTTAGAACTTGTTTAAGGGTAGATTTAGAACTTATTCTGGAAATAAATTCTGAATTATTGGGCTAAGTTTTAGAGTAGGCTCTAGAGTCAGACTGTGTGCATTCAAGTCACAGATGTAGCAACTTACTAGCTGTGCAACCTTAAAAAAAGTTATTTAAATTATCTGTGCTTCTCATATTACCTCCCTCAAGATCATATATCTAAAGCACTTAGCAGAGCAGCCGGAACACTGTAAGAATGCAATACATCTAGTTATAATTGATTACTCTTCCTCATTAGCAATCAGAAGAAAACAATGCTAAAGAGAGTACAATTCAAATGACATATAATGTGTGTGCGTGTGTGTGTCTACACATGTTCATGTGTGCTGGGTAATGAACCCAGAGTCTTGCATGTGCTGAGCGCTGGCTGTACTAAGCAGCTATAAACTCAGCCCCTAATAATTTCACTTGTATAAATCTATGTTTATTTTCCTAGAATTGGCCCAGACCTTGCAGTTTAGATGTTCAAGAAGTGAAATTCAAGAAATTAGTTTCTTCATTTGTTTGCTGGCCTCTCAAATCAGTTCCTTGTAGTACATGATGTCACAAATTTGATTTATTTTCTATCTGGCTTACCAGGGGAAACCTACATTGCTTCCCCTTTTGCCATGGTCTATTAGGAACTCTCAGTCTATATCTAGTGTAGACTAATTTGTCGGAAAGGGAAACAATTTATTTAAAACCAAGGCTTAAATCTCTTTTTCTTTAAACCCTTGAGCCATGTCTACATTCCTAATTCTTGCCTTTGACAACTGTTTACTGCACTACTGTTTCCTATCTTTAAATGTCTTAAGACGGAGCCTCTCATTTTCCCCATCTGTTTAACAAGGCAGAAATACTGCAAGGTGCTTTTCCTTAGCGGACTTTCCCGCCTGAGTCCTAGTTTTGTCACTGTCTGCCTTTTGGTCTAGTCCTTGCCGCATTATTCAATTTTTTCATTCACAAATCTCAACTAAAATCCAGGTTATGTTCACAATTGCCAGTGACTCACACGCAGTTGGGTGGCCCTGGGTGCCAGGGGGCCCGGACACACCAAACTTGGTCGGCAGAGGGCGAGCTGATGATCTCTGCGACACCACCCGATGAAGGGAAGAAGGTGTGAGGTGGGTAACAGGTGTGCAGGGAGGGGCTACGGTCGGAGGAACAGCCAGTGTGCGGGTGGAAGGCTCCCGGGGGGCATTCACGGGGCAGCAGCTAAGAGGGGTTATGAGGGTACCTCAGAAGAAAGCGAGCCTACGGCAACCTGACGGAGAAATAAAAGAGGACCAGACGAAATGGGGACAGAATAACTGCCTTGAGGCGGGGCCAGTGGCCTGGGGAAAGTTCGGGATTAAGACCACTGAGCTAACAGAAGGTTAGTGACATCCGAGTTTGGACTGAGGGATCCCGGAAAGGTCTCAAAAATTATACCTGGATGAGCGCCTTCACCTCCAGGTCGAATTTTACAATCTCTTGGTTACAGATTCGGACGTGGACATCTTGGGGAGCCGCCATGTTGGAGACGTCGACTACGGGCAGCGGCAGGGCCCAAATTCAATCGCGTTTTCGCGTCGCTTTCTTATTCTCCCAGCCAGACTGGAGCGCCTCCTGGAGTCAGGCGTGAGGGCAAGTAAGCGTCGCAGCGCAGAGCGCAGGGGACATTTCCTTGAAACGTGAGAAACTGGCCTCTCCTCTGGTTTGGTCCTAATAAAACGGAGAAGAAAAGAAAATATCAGGAATAGTGTTCACCCTTCCATCTCCCACCAATCCACCGTCCTAATGATTACACGTTTTTTTGCAAAGAAGAAATAAGACCAGAAAAGTATCAAATGGAATGTCTCTGGAAGATGCGATTGAATTTTTAACTTTCTTGTATTTTCATTTTCTGTAGTATGACTTGTGAAGTAAAAGAAAAATTACAAGCACTTTTTAAAAATGTCTGAAATTCAAAGCAGTTTATCAGAGCATCTTTAAATCAACCCAACACGTGCTGCAGGACATGACAAGTAGCTCAGGCTGGCCTACAACTCACTATGTAGCCCAGGCAGGCCTCAGACCCCTGGCCTCCCCTTCCTGCCTCACTACCCAAGTGCTAGCTAGGATTACAACTGTGCACCACACACCCAGCACGATTAGATTAGATAGCAAACCTTCAATAGACGGTGGCTACAAACAGTGGCTCTCTTCATTTTATCTTTACTATTACATAATACAAGTTCTTTAGCTGGTCCTCAAGGACATCAGACACCACCCCATCCACCACCCCGCCTCTTGAACCCACACTCCCCTTATTCCAGTCTTCAGGCTCTTTAGCCATAAAATATGGTGTTCCCTTTTCTTAGAATGCTTCCCTCAACTTGCCCCATCCATCCACTTTTTCTTTTGTCTTTTTTGGTGGCTGCATTTGGGACTGAACCCAGGACCTGGCACATGCCAGGCAAATGTTCTTGCCCTAAATGACACCTCAACATCTACTTTGGTTCATTGCACTCCAACAAGCCCAGACTGTGAGGACCTTAGTGCTTTGCTGTGTTCATCTTTTATCACAACCACCTCTTAAGACACCAGTTTTATACATTAAGGAGATGGACTAAAAGTGGATAGCAAAACAAACACTACCCCACAATTACTGAACTTGAAATTAGCTGAAAGAGCTGGCCAAGTAGCTCAGTGGATTAAAGTAACTGCTTAAGCAGATATGGGTTGGAAGTTCGATCCCCGTGGGTGCGCTGAGACGGTGATTGAGACTGGGTTTGGTGGCATACACTTGTAACTCCAGCACTTGGGAAGCTGAACACAGGAGAATCACTACAAGTCCAATCTGTGTAGTGAGACCCTGCACTAAATAAATTTTTTTAAAAAATCCTTTTTTCAGGTCCTCCTTTCCACGATGAAAAAAAGGAACAAAGATGAAATATAGGAAGTAAAGCCATGCTGTTATGTTGAGCTGTGGGGGACTCAGGTCAATAATTTCTGACATTGCCAGTTGAACAGAAGACCCAATGCTATTATGGGCTACTGGACTCTTTTAGAATATTTTGCTGAGTTCACACACCTATAATATTCAATAACGGAACTTAGAAAAAATAGGGTATACAGATGAATGTCCATTTTGTATCTGTGCATTCAAAGTGGTTAGGATAGATATATAGTTGCATTCTCTTAATGAATAGAATGATTTGTTCTAATGATGTTTGTAAATAGGATCTCAAGTCCACATCTTGTACAGCAATTAACCACTAAGAAGAATATATGCAGTGTGTTATTTGTTGAATCTGTACTTTCGATTTGATTTGAAACTGTCTCATTGCTATCTGTTTATCAATAAAATTTAAAAAAAAAAGAAAAAAAAGGAACAACGGTCATGTCAAAAAGGGCTACGGTCATATGTAGCCTATTCACTGCACGAACTGCACCTGTGTGTACCCAAGGATAAGGTCATTAAGAAGTTTGTCATTCAGAACATAGTGGAGGTCGCCACCCTCAGGGACATTTCCAAAGCAAGTGTTTTTGACAGTTATGTGCTTCCTAAGCTGTATGTGAAGCTGCATTACCGTGTTAGTTGTGCCATTCATAGCAAAGTGGTCAGAAATCGATCTCGTGAAGTCCACAAGGACTGAACAGCTCCACCCCGATTTAGACCTGCTGGTGCTACCCCACGACCTCCACCAAAGCCATGTAAGGGGAGCTGGGTCTTAGTGGACTGAAGAAGACTCTCTTCAGAAAGAAATAATAAATTGAATGTTATACTTTAAAAAAAGAAGATAGATAGATAGATAGATAGATATAGATAGATAGATAGATAGTAGCTGAGCCTTGTCTGAAAGTCACCTATTCTTTCAAAAACCACTGGGGCCTGTGGGTGCCAGGAGCTAGGGTAGCTAAGAGGCATAGTGCTTTAGTAAGGCTCTAGGTTCCTTCCCCACATGACCAAAAAAAGACAAATAAGAGGGAACAAAAAGTACATATGGCCCCTTGGGCAGTGTGATACAACCAGGCTGTGCACTTACTCTATATTCCTACAGCACTCAGCATGCCCTCCTCACCTCACTGCACCAGAGAAGCAGCGTATCGCAGGCATGGACATCTGTTTGGACTTGAATTCTGTTCTACATCTCACTTCTTTTTGCTGCACCTCAGTCTTCCCAGAGGTGATAATCAGCAGCACCTATTTCATGGCGTTGGTTAGAGAATTTAATATATGAGACGTTATGGAGCACAGTGTGACAATGTGGCACTGTTAAGAATTCCATGCCTGGTCCTTACTATACTAGCCACTATTCTGGGAGAACCTCCTATGTGCCCTGCACTTGTGCCAAGTGCTTCATAAGCTTCATCTCACTCAACTCTCACAATCCTATGGGGATAAAACAAGAGAGGCACAATGACTTCCCAGAGTAACTGGAGTTACCAAAGAATATATGCATTTTAAAATTCTGACACATACTATCAAAATATTTTTTTCTTTTTTTTTTTTTTTTTAAAGCCAGGGTCTCTGTGTAGTCCAGGCTGACCTCAAATGTGCAGTGATCCTCTGGCCTCAGCCTTCCGAGAGCTGGGATTAAAGGCGAGCACCACACCTGATTCAAATTGCTCTTCAGAGGCGTTTTATCAATGTACATTCTCACAATTGAACTGATACAGATTCTTGCTTCCCTTGGTACTGCCAATGTGATGTGTTAACAGAGATTTTTGCTAAACAGATTAGGGACTATTTATTGTCTTTTTGAGACAGGATCTGGCTATGCAGGTCACTTTGTAACCCAAGCTGGTCTTGAACTCACAATGATCCTCTTGCTTGAGCCTCCTGAGTGCTGGGATTACAGTTGTGCACCACCACACCCCACTAGGCTTTTAAAACGTCTTAATTTTGTATCGTTCATCATGAATGAGGTTAAGGTACTCTTCCTGTATTTCAGAATTATCTGCACTTTGCTCATTTTCTATTGGATCACTGGTCTTTAGTTTCCAGCAGCTCTTTATGCACTGGCTCTTAGAGATGAATTGTAGGGAGGTGTTTTTTCTTTTCCTTTGGTGTACAGAATTTTAATTTATCTTATGATGTTTGGGGACCTTAAATCTTTTTTTTCTCTCTAAGAGTCAGGGTCTTGCTATGCAGTTCTGGGTGACCGTAAGCTCCCTTTGTAGCCCAGGCTTGACAATCCTCCTTCTGCCTCAGCCTCCCAAGTGCTGGGATTATAGGTGTGTACCATCATGTGGGACCTTAATCTGAAGTTTATTCCTTAATTTTGTTCTGCATAGATTTGATCAACTTTTACTTATGACTTATTTTTTAAAAATATTATTTTTGTATGGGGAATCAAAACTCAGGATCTTGTGCTTGCCAGGTAGGTACTTGTGCTGCTCAGCTATCTCCCCAGCCCATTGAGCCCTGGACCTGGGGTTCAAGTTAGGAAGGCTTTCCTCTTCCCTGACAGATTTAAGGGAATTGCCCACATTTCCTCCTGGTGTTTTTAGTTTTTCTTATCCATTTTAAAATATATTTTGGCTTATGGTGCAAAGTAGAGAAAGCCAATTTTAAAACATTTTCTCAAATATTACTGAGTGATTCCAAAACCCTTGATTAGAAGTCTTTTTCTTCTCATTGGTTCTGGGTGACACATTCATGACACTAAATTGCATATTTGAGTCTATTTCCCGACTTTCCCACTCTGCTTTACTAGCCTGCCCATTCAAGCACCAAAATGACTTTTAGTTTTATGACTTTTAATATTTGCTAGCATTAAACACACCACTTAATTCTCTCTCCTTTAGTAATCTTCCGGCTATTTTTTCCTCACATAAAATTGTATTTTTAAAAGTCTGTTGGTTTTAATAGGATGACATTACAACTGTTAATATAAAATTAGTAGTTTCAACTGGACTACATCTGTTCAAGAAGTTGGCATATTTTTCCACATATTCAAATTTTCTTCTGGAGTCTTCAGTTATTTTAGTTTTATCTTGATGTAATGTATTGCCCTTATTTATTGCCCTATTTTAGAACTATTAAAAGAAAAAAGTGGACATTCTTCAAATGACTGCAGTGTTTTGGGTGAGAGAAATCCCAAAGTTGTCACTGGACAGATCTGCTACACATCTCTGAGCCTCTCTAGTCATGCTTGTTAGCAACTCCTATGCAATCAACAGTCCCCAGTGTCATCTCTATGCAGCAGCTAAAGAAAAGAACATAGCTCCCCTCTTCTAGTTTGGCTACCACACTTCCTTCTAAGAAGAAGAAGCAATCCCATAACCTGTAGAAGCCATCTTTGAGGAACAAAGTGTACAATCTGGTGACTCACACACCCAACTTTGATTACTTCCAACCTATTTTACTTCCTATGGCCTTTACATTTTGATCGCGAGACTCATTTTTGGTTCCATCTGCTAAATATTGGCTTTTGTTCTTTTGAGCTTCTAAGTCCATTATTTCCCTCCTACAAACATCTTTCCAAATATTGCCTGTGCCTTGGCCTAGTCCATCAGAAGAGTGTGAATGGTCCCTGTGGTACAGCAAGAAGACCAGGCTGTGAACTGTGACTGAGTTATCACAAAGCTTGATCCAGGGCCAATTCCCTCATCTGATCTTACTGACTCCTTTGTATAGTGGACA